CCTTGTAGGCCTAGAGAGGCCACGTAGAAATACTCAACCCTGTAGGCTTGGAGAGCCCGTGTAGAAATACTCAACTCTTGAGAGGCCGTGTAGAAATACTCAACTCTATAGACCTAGAGAGGTCGTGTAGAAATATTCAACTCTATAGACCTGGAGAGGTCGCGTAGAAATATTCAACTCTATAGGCCTAGAGAGGCCACGTAGAAACACTCAACTTTGTAGGCCCATAGAGGTCGCGTAAAAATACTCAACTTTGTAGGTTTGGAGAGGTCGTGCAAAAATACTCAAAAGGTCAGCTAGAGCCTCAATACCAGTCCCGCTCGGAGAGGCTAGAACAAGCAATACTTACTTTAGGTCGGCTGAAGCCTTAATGTCAGTCCAACCTGGATAGGCTGAGCTTAGAATATACTTATACCTCAGCGAACAATAAACAAGAAATAACACTAATCAAGAGACAAACAAAAGTAGCACATAGCATCTACGCTGAACTGGAAGCCTAGATGGTACAATCTATCATCCTTGTCACACAAAGGAGAACACAACTCAACACTCAGGTATTCCAAAGGGCAAGGATACAAGTAAACTTGTATACCTGAAGGAAACAATGTGGAAGTGCCTACAAGAGACAAAGAGAAAACTTAGACGAAATGTCTACATCTTTACTTGCCTTTGAAAAGTAATACATGGCTATTCAAAGAACAAGTAAAGAGGACCTCTATAGACACTTAATTTCGTCCAGGATGCTTATATCAAGAAGAAGACTAAGTAGACTAGTACATAGAACTTAGAAAGTCCAAACTGATGTGGATGGGCTTAGGATACACTAAAGCATCAAAAGGCATGAATGGTAGTTTTAATAGCCCAAAATAGGCCGTTTTGAAACCAGAAAGGGTTGTTCTGAACTACCAAAAAAGACTAGAAACCCTAGGTCAAAATGCCCTATTTTGACCCAGTTTGTTACATGTAAAATTCAAATTCAAAATGGGTCGTTCTGGTTTCAGAACGAGTCATTCCAATTTGAATTTTTGTTGTAATAGAATCCTCTAGAACGTCCCATTCCGACATCAAAACAGTCCATTCTGGTGGATTTTTGTGCCTATAAATATAAGCCTCATGCATAGTGTTGAGGGACCAAAAAATAGACGAAAAAGTTGTCTATTGAAGTCCTTATAGTTTGAATCTCTCTCTCTTTTTCTTATTCTCCTTGTATTTCTTGAGTTTTGTGAGGTAATTGTAGTGCGAAAGATTGCCAAAAAGTGCCTAGATTCTGCCATTGAAGATCCAATAAAGCTCGGTCAAGAGGTATTTCATAAAAAAATTTCCTTTAATCTATTATTCATGTCATACAACAATGTTAATCGATAAAAACAACTTGTAGGCATCTTAGGTGAGATCATGTAATTTTAAATTTAAAGGTAAATATTTTATTAATAAAAGAGGAGTAAATATTTGAATTATTATTCTACATTATGCTAATTTCATCATAGGGTATCAAGTTAGGATGTTGTAGGGTGCCTAACACCTTCCCTACACATAACTGAACCCTGATCCCAATTCTAGTTATGAAAGCCATTATTGAATTTTTGAAAACCTTTTATTTTTTCCAATGTTTTGAGGAAAATATTGGTGGCAACTCCTTCGAACCGTTTTCAAAACCATTAATTAAGGATCAGTTTGATTTCAGGCATTCTTTGATTGACAAGATTTTCAAAAGGAAGTTCCAACCATCTATGGATAAGATAGGAATTTTTTGGATTCTAACACTGGCTTGTGAGTATTCTTTCTAAGCCACTCTTGGCTTGTGAGTATTCTTTCTAAGCCACTCTTGGCTTGTGAGTATTCCTTTCTAAGCCATTCTTGGCTTGTGAGTATCCTTTCTAAGCCACTCCTAGCTTGTGAGTATTCTTTCTAAGCCACTCCTAGCTCGTGAGTATTCTTTCTAAGCCACTCATGGCTTGTGAAAGGGTTTCCTTAACCTAAAATGCCTCCCTTCTTAGGCGAAGATTGTCTTGTGAAGACATAGACATCCTGTCTGAAATGCCTCTATGTTGATGGGCGAGAAATCATCCTCTCAATATGGTAATTGTAACTAAGTTGTGTCACTTCTCCAGTCGAAAATTGGAGAGAGTAATTGATAATGCCTTGTTGAGCTCTACTGCCGGCTTGCTACTAGGCAGGAGTGTTGGGAAGCAATAAGGCACTTTCTTACAAGTGTTTAATTCATAGGATTGGGGATAAAAATTTTACAAAACACTTAAAAGAAATTTCTTAACACTAAGGTTACAAGGAGGACTAAGATTGTATATTAGACAATTTACTCAAACTTTGAGTTGAGAGCTTGAGAGTTCTAAGATTTAGAGAATTTTTCTAACTCTAATTCACGTAGATAAATCTTGTTTATATACTCAATTCAATCTCTTGTTGATATCCAAGAAGGTTTTTCTTTTAAGCATTATGTGTAGATTGCTTTCACGTATCCTAGTAAAGGTACAACCAATGCAACTTTATCTATAGTGCCACATGGACATTTGGGCACTATTTCCATTGTTGCATGCAGATTTGTTGTGCGCTTAATATTAGATGTAGACAAGCATATGAAATATCATTCTTTGTCTTATTCTAAAATAGGTAAAGGAAAAACCATTCTTACATACATGTTTTTCAACATCTAGATGCTTGTTTAACTCATGACCACTAAACAGTCTATTTTTGAAATACATGACTAGTCACCTTTCTTATGTTGACTTCATTCTTCATAACACTTTTTGGTGAAAACCTGAAGGAGAGACTTAATTGATGTAGCTTATCCTTCAATCTTCTTCCTAGATCTTTGACTTGTTGAAACTTCTTAAGCTTCAATGAGCTCTTCAAATGGAGTTGAAGAATTTATGATTCACCTTCAAAGGTGAAGAGCTTAATTCAAGTGACACCACTTCAAGGAAGAAGATAAACTACTTCAAATCTCACCACACTCTTAGGAAAAGGATGAGAGAATTGGAAGCAAACCGAAGAGAGAATTAAGATTTTGAGAGAGAGAAAGTAAGGGAGAAAAAACTCGACAATCTTAATAATATGCTCAAAAGTGAATACAAATGGTTCTAAACACCTATATAAAGAGCTTAAGTAGGAGACATAAATCCTCCAATCATAAACAAGATCTAGGAGACATGTAGGAGACATTTAGATCCTAAAGAGCCAATGAGCAAGTGCCAAGTGTTCTCTTGTCTCTAGGTGGTTGGAGAAGTAGTTTTAAGATAGAAGGAAGCCAAATGGATGGCCAAGGTGTCTCTTAGCTTGTCTTGGCTGAACCAAAAACCAAGGAATTAGTTTGCTTTGGTTAACCAACTGAAGGTTAAACCAAACCAAATCAATTCCTTGCGCCAAGAAAAGAAAAACAAGCCCAATATCACTTTTGGTTAGTTCCACACCTTTACTACTTCCACACCATCTAGAATGGCTATTGCCACTCCAATAGAATGACTATTTCCACACCAATTACTAAAACTCAAGAAAACTAAAAATGGTGACCATGAATACAAGGTCAAAAGGAATACATTTCAATAAGGAACATGTGTTTAAGTCCTAAAGGCATGACCTACAACAAGAAAGACATATAACCCTAAATACAAGGGTAAAATAACCTATACAATTAACTACTACATACAAAGGAATGGAAAACTATATAAAGCATATAAAATAGAAGACTAGGCACCTAGGAAGGAAACACATACTCTATGCTCATGTTAACCACAGGTCTAACAAACACATCTTCTTTAGTAGCTTCTTTGTGCCTCCTAACCATAGACCTTTCTAAAGGTCCTATGGTCTTCAAGGATGGTCTTCCATCACTTTGATTTATAAAAACTCCTATGATAAACTTTTAATGCCCATTGTTATCATCAAAACCTTTACAAGGGATACAAGACTTCCATGCCTTTGGTTCCAACAATAGGTAATGCCAAAAAATTTGTTAGAGTATTTTTTGATTATCTTGAACTCTTTTATTCTTTGTAATTCAACTTCCCTCATTTGATTCAAAACTTGGATGTCCTTTCATCTCCTACATACTATTCCTTTAGGTAATCTCAAATTGCTTTCGTGATTTTGAGAGTCATGATTCTAGTAAAGACAATTTGTAAGACACTAACAAACAAATGAGTCTTTGCCTTTTGTCTTCATGATTTTCCTTTTTACTTTGTGAATTTGCTTTTGGACCATGCAATGCAAGGATGCCATAACTTTCTTCTATGACTTCTCATAAATCTAAAGCTTCTATGTATGCCTCAATTCTCACAGCCTAAATTCAAAGTTTTGTCCATCAAATAGGAGGGAAAAATTATGAAAAAAATGTTTTGCTTCCATCTCCACTTGTCATAAGAACCTTGACTCTTGACACCACTAATGAGTTATTTTGTATTTATTTGTATTTTGTAGATTGTTGGATTGAGCATTTACCATTAAGCCAAGACCTATAGTTCATAGTTAGGACATAACTCTTTCTACTTAACCATAATAGCCCAAACGTCACATGTCTCGACTGTGACTTGACCCACTCAAGCCTTCACTGTGGGACAATTGATGCAACCCAACAAACAATCTCCCCCTCAGTAATTGCTCCTGCTGGGAATTGAACACGCTACCTTGGATTTGATACCAATTGTTAGATCGAATGTTTACCACTAAGTCAAAAGCTATAATTGATAGACAAGGTGCAACTCTTTCTGTTAACCATAGCAGCCCAAGCGCCACATGTCTCGATTGTGACTTGACCCACTCAGGCCTCTACCATGGGACAATTAATGCAACCCAACAAACATAGATAGATTTTTTTCCAAGAGGGACATGATATAATTTTATTCATGGGCTCTCTATATAAAAAAAATGTAATACAAAAATTGAAAGATTGACACCATATCATATTCTAAATAATAGGAAACAAATCTTAAAATAATTAAAATAAATAAAATCTAAATATTTGAAAAATAAATAATGTATTCCTATCAAAATTAAATGATTCCTACCTTCTTAAACTTAAAAATATTTAGGTATATTCCCAATATTTCATTTATGTATCACCATTGGAACTAGTTTTATCGAGCCTCTAACAATGAGATTGAAATTTCATTTACTGAACACCTTTGGTAGTGCTTTAAATAAGATCCAAAAGTGTCAATTATATTATCGTTTTCTGTGTAGAACCCAGGTTGGCTTGGATTTGGGAGTAACTTTTCACCATTCAACATTAAAACCACAGATGACATGTTTGGTCTATTTTCTGGATTTTGTTGTACGCATAGTAAACCCACATGAATAAATCTCAATATTTCATGTGGAGTGGCTGGATCATCTAATATGTCATCTATTAACTCCATTGGCCTTTCTTCAATCCATAGCCTCCATGCCTAAAATAATATGAAAGTCATAAAATGAGTGACTTCATTCCATACTAAAAATTTCAATACTGACACATTGTTATAAGCAGAAAAAATGATTTTTGGACACCCAAAATCCTAGGTGACACCTTGGAAGAAAGATGAAAGAGAAAAAATGTAGGCATGATATAGGTGACATGTTGTGATAGAAAAAGAAAGGTATAAAGAAATGATGGTTGTTAATGAGATGTTTGAAAAATCAAAGTATCTAAAAATCATTACTCAAAAGATAATTGAGAGTTTCAATGGATGACAAAACTTAAAAGTAGGCTAAATACTATACATCAAATATGAGTAGGCGACTTTCTTTTAAGGATTTGTTTTAATAAACTTCTCCAAAAGTACTTTCAAGAAAGAAAAATAAGAAGGCAAAATGAAATAAGTTTCTCCATAAGCTAAAATTAGCTTATATAGAAACTAATTTGTAGAAGTTCTTTTTTATTAACTTCTCTAAAATTTTATTTTTAACTTATCATACTTGAAACAATTTTTAGCATGGAAAAACTTATTTTAATTTTCCTTCATATTTTTTTTTATAGTAAGTACTTCTAGAAAAATTTATTCAAACAAACTCAAAAGGAAATATGAGAATTACAAAGATTATGAGAAGAATAAAAACATAGCATGATTTAAAAGTGGTTTACGGATGAAATATTGATTAAAGTATCATGCTTTTGTGTCCAAAACATTTTAGGTGGATTTTTTTGGTCGTAGGGTAACGGTTGCATGCGTGAGGATTACTTTCAACTATTCTATAGTTTAGTTATATTAATTATGCATTAATAAATTTTCATTTTAAATATCTCAATTCCCTTGGGATTTATTGAGGCACAAACAAATAACAACAAGAAAACTAAGGGGCGAGAAATAATGTATCAAAAGATATACAAATATATTTTCAACTTTAAACTTACATGGCCTAGAAGGTTAAGTTGATGATGGTGAGGGTCACGAAATCCACGATTTTTTCTTCCACTAATTATCTCAATAACAATTACACCAAAACTGAAAACATCAGATTTAGTTGAGAAAGATCCATGCATTGCATATTCTGGAGGCATATAGCCACTGCAAAACAATATCGAAATAAGGGAAATTGGTTGTAGCAATCTAGGCATGTAACATAGTTAAAAAAAAATGTTTTCTTACTATGTTCCCATCACTCTATTTGTATTTGCCTCAGCTTGATCTCCTCCAAACGCTCTTGCTAACCCAAAATCTGATATCTTTGGAATCATGTTGTTATCAAGAAGAATATTACTTGTTTTGAGATCTCTATGTATGATTCTTAGTCTAGAATCTTGATGAAGATACATAAGTCCTCGAGCAATTCCCTCAATAATTTCCAAACGCTTAGTCCAATCCAATAATTTAGCTCGCATTGTATCTAACAAATTTTTTAAAGTTAGCATGGAAACTACATGATGGCTAGAAAATAATTAAAGCAATGAATCTAATGGGTGTTAAGATCAAACCAAAGATAAAGTAATTCAAGCTTCTGTTGGGCATGAATTCGTATATCAACAACTTTTCTTCAAGTTGAATAGAACAACCAAGAAGTTTTACAAGATTACGGTGTTGAAGTGTTGCCAACAACTTTACTTCATTTTTGAACTCCTCAATTCCTTGTCTTGAAGTTTTAGAAAGCCTCTTGACTGCAATCTCTTGTCCATCTAGCAATGTGCCCTAGCAATAATTTTGGAAATTTTGGTAATTGGCAAAGAATATGAATACTTAGGTAACCATGGCCTATATGAATAAAATTGACTACCTACCTTATATACCGTTCCAAAACCACCTTCTCCTATCTTGTTTATGTTAGAAAAGTGATTTGTGGCAATATCAATGGTTGAAAAATCAAATATTGTTGGTAAGTTATCGTCTTCCTTCTCCATCATGTGCTTCCAGCGAATCACTGCTTTAACAACTCCTACTGTTGTAGGGACATGAATTGCTTAGAATTAACACTATTAGTGGTTATAATGTCAACTAAATAAAGGGACATAGATGAAACAGAAAACAAACATGAGAAATGAAGAATACTTCGTTCATTTTAATATTACTCTATTTTCATTATAATATAAGACTATTTGAGTATATCATTAAGAGTTAAAATATACAAATATATTTTTCACCTGGCTTGGGTACTAGCTTCATCCTCTTTCTAAATTTTGAAGTGGCACACACAAGAATTGTTAGTCCTGTTATGAATGTAACAAGTCCTGCTAGAATCCCTGCAAGCTTCTTTCTATTCAAGTTCCTTTTATTCCTTCTGAGATCTGAGGATTGAAATTAATTAATGTCAATCAACAAGTAGCTGGATGCTAACAATTCAGGGGAAAGAGAAAAAGGGAAAATGCATGTTATACAGAACAACTCGTAGAAGCTTATTTGCAATTGATTATTGGGTATTGTATACTGATGGTAGCAGCAGAATCTAGCATGTTATAACTTCATCAAGTCATTTGTTGAATGGAATTTACAAAATCTATGGAATGGAATGAAGTTATGATTCCAATCTTTAGATACTTTATAACAGAATGAAATGGAATGGACAAAACAAAACTTCCATCTCTACTCCAAATCTGGCTTAAAAAAAAAAAGAGAGAGAGAAAGGTTTTGGATGAATTGAAAAAGAATACATTATACAGCATAACCTTAATATTCCCTTTCATTTCACTTCGTTTCTTTATTTTTTTATCAATCCAATAGGAATGCAAACGACACTTTCTCTTTCTTATTGACTCAAATTCATTGAAAATCATAAATTTTGCAAGACATGTCTCATTCAATGAATCTATTTCTTTGTCAGAAAAAGTGTCGTTAGCATTTTTCAAAAAAAAAAAAATGATATATGTTTACTATATCTGACATGATAAAAGATGGAATTGGAAGAGTAAATACCCAGATCAGAAAAGGCTAGTCGTATATAAATTTCTTGTCCACGGTCTGGCACAGTTCTCAAGTCCACAATGTTACCAAACCAAAGCAAGCAGCCACTCCCACCATCTCTGATATCTAAATTTGCATATGCAGTACAAGAGCAGTTTCTCAAACACAATCTCTTACATTCCTCAAGGCTCAAGCTCTTGTTAAACCACGAAGAAGACGCGTCTGGCAACTTCATTCCTGTGTACTTCTCAAACCCATCTCCATTATCACAACTTAATTTCGTTCTTCTCACACACCCACCAGACCAATCTTGGGAACCCCACTTTTCTTTAAACTTTGGTATGAAACCTTGCAAGCATTCACATACTGGAAGATTATCAATATTGCAGTTAGAATTGACACCACAGCTTGCATAATATTCACACTGGTCTTTAGGCTGAGTGTTTACAGTATCCCAAGCTTGTCTTTGGTTTGACCATTGGAAACGGCCTGTGCCTCCTGTTGGATTGATCCTCAGCACTGTTCTAGTAGGCGTTGAGCTTTTCAATGTCTCGTATCCAAAAGAAACTTCTTTGTCACTGAACTCTAAAGAGAAATTCAAAATTTTACGCATTCTGTCCCATGAAACTCCACTGAAGAGATAGCCATTCCACGGCCCCGAACTGTACAAAACTTTTGCTCCTTGTTTAGTAACTAGTTGAGGAAAGCCACTTGCATCGATTCCACATGAAAAATCACCTTCAGCAGGATCATCATCGTTTCTCCAAGACGTGAGATATGTATATGGACCAGTGACAAAGTTGCTCTTCAGTTTCATTCCCGCGAGCATGGTGTCACCAGGATGATCAAAGCTTTGCCACAAGAGGTTCGTCTCAGCATCTTTCATGACAAGGTTTCCTGAATCTGAAAGCTGCACAACTGGTTTCAGTTTCTCTGCGTTTCTTGATGAGTTTGAGGACCAGATTATGCCTTTGGAGCCATCAAGAATCTCAAGGTTTCCCTGATGAGTGAGTTTCAGAACTGCTGTTGATGAGTTTTGTACTGGGATATTCCTGTTGGCAACCCACACAATAGTCCTGGGTGATATGGTCTTGTACCATATACCAAAATAACCACTTGTTGAGTTTCCAAGGTTGAAAAATCCTGCTTCAAAGATTCCTGCGTCTTCCTTCTCCAT